GTATTCCTCTTTGTAAGTATCATCATCGTAAGATTAACTGTTAGTACCACATCACTAATAGTCGACATTTCTTTATATCTTAATTATGTCGTAAATCGAAATATAACATTTATATTTTCCAATTTATTGAACAAAAAAAAACAAAATTTCATTTACAACGAAGAAAAGCAGTCCTAAGTAGTATTATCATAGAATTCATAACGCTTTCAATCCTGTCGTCAGTAATGCTCGAAATGATGTTATTATTCGCGTACTAAGATTATACTATTTTTTTTTCTTCATATTTCACTTGATAACTGATTGATTTTTATGGAAATGAGAATAAGTGATTGGAAATTTGAGCATATCTATTTTATTTATATGGAAAATAGATATCTTTTTACGTAATTTAAAAAAAAGAGTTCAATTTAATGTTTGTTAGTTTTTAAGCTGCAATACGAGGCATGTAACGTCGACGATGACGAAGAGCAAGGTCTCCATAGAGACGATATCTGAACCATGTCTAGAAATAAATGTCAAATAAGAACATCAATTAAAATAGAAAAATATTTTCTTACTCGAACATAACTATACGATATATTAAGATGTGCAGCAATACTTCTCATTTCATTTCCTCTAGGAATGCGGTTATGTTGAAAAACTGAATAAAAAAAATTTTTAAATTGTTAAGCATGAAGAATGGGTGAGAATTTAAAATATCTTACATTGTTCAAGTGAGTCTATATGTTCTTTCGTTAATATTTGTAAAATCCATGAGTCACGTTTACATCCTTAACAAATATCAAAATATTCATTTTTACAGGTATTTTCTCACTTATCCATACCATTCTGTAATACTAAATAATCATTATCCATTGTAACTAAATAAATTCAATATCAACAAACAAGCAAAGATGATCGTGATATCTACGTTCTTTAATAGAAAATGTACGGATTATGCTATATATATCGATAACAGAGAGAGAGATCACTATAGACCAATTAGTCTATACTATGAGCAAATGATCATATTATGAAAAGAATACATTTCATATAAAAAAAAAATTATCAGAAAGAATAAATACAATTGTTTCTTTTAAAGAAAGGTCAACAATAATTTATATCGTCCGCATTAATCATTGTAATAGAAAAATGATAGTAATAGTCTAGATATTCTATCTTTTCAGATAAAATAATTAACTGATCATGCAGCAAAATATTTGATATGTTTTATTTTTGATAAAAGTCTTTAACATATTAGAAGACGTCGCTTTGATAAACAAATCAAAAGACAATTCAGAAAAACCGATTCTTTTAATGATTTCTATAGCTTTTTCACTTCTAATTCAATATGTTCAATGATCTTTGGATCTTTGCAATTGTGAGAGAAAACTTGATAAATACATATGTGACAAAGTTAAAAATTGAATTTAAATCACTTTGTAAATTTCAATTGTTCACACAACTGCTATATATTCAGTGTCTTGCTTCTCATCCTCACTCTCTTCAAAACTCAGCTCAATTCAACTTTCAAACTTGACATTGAAGTTTTTTTCTTTGCATATGATCTTTTCTCCTTCAATCAACAGATTTTTTTCTAGAATGAAAAGCACAGTAGGAATAATTTCCAATACTCAAAACAACATGTATCTTGTTTCTTTCCTCTCTCATTCATCTTCTATTTTTAATATAGAAGAGATGATCTATTTCCAGAGCACTCTACTAAACATCTTCAACTTGAGCATGTTCATCTCAACAGTCGAAAAATGAAAATGAACTTGAATGACTACGAATATATGCTTATATTACGGGTTCTTATTGAAGATTAGAACCACAGAACACGAACAAAACAATTGCTCATGCTGTTGAAAAAGCTGCTAATAGAATAATTAAAGAAGAATCACGAATGAATAAAGTATATGAAGCCCAATGTCTTTCTCGACAAATAATGTCTGTTAAAGATCGTAGTTTCAATATCAAAGTAGACTTTGTTGAAAAATAAGTGAATTTCTATAGAAAAAAAAATCAGTTTTGTAGCAATTAAATAATCGTATTATTCATGAACGAATACAAAAACTTCTAGATCATTCTGTTGATTACATTGATCAGTATTTGTATGACAATCCTAAGCACATCATAGTTTAAATCTAGATAATTAACAACGGAAGTTATGAAATTAAGATGTTTTACTTGCAGAAGTTCTAACCTTAAAATAGTTGAATTTTCTAATGTAAATATACTTGTTATTATTCATCGAAATCAACGTTGTAATAATTTTAATGATATTTCTTGCGATAGAAACATCTCATTTCATTCTGATTTTCTTCGAGAAAAACAATTGTTAATTTTATCAGGAAAAGATTTTCTTTTTGTTAATTATCAATATGGTATTTTCAAGAACAAACATCTCATTTACATAAAATCGCTATAAATTTCAATAAACGCAGGATATCTTGGGCCTGGATTCGAGTATTCCGTAACTGGATTCGCTCTCAGTTGGGACCAAAAAACAAACTCTGCGGACCAAGATAGAGCTCAACGAGCTCTATCGAATGCACTATTTACTTTTTCTCCAAAACCATTCCAAGCTGGAGAAAAACTTAAAATACTGTAAAAAAATAAGCAAAAAAAAACCGATTTTTTTCGTCAAGTGCACCGGGATTCGCCCCCCGTTGGTACCAAAAGCTTAAAATGACATAGATCGATAGAACTCGACGAGCTCTATCTAATGGATATCTTTTCAAGTATTTTTTGTGCTTTCATCCGCCCTTAAAATGCCAATTTTCGCAGACAACCTGGTTTTTACCCTAAATACCGCACCGGGATTCGCTCCCAGTTGGAACCAAAAGCTCAAAATGACATAGATCGATAGAGCTCGACGAGCTCTATCCAATGGATATCTTTTGAAGTAATTTCTGTGCTTTCATCCGCCCATAAAATCCCAATTTTCGCAGAAAACCCGGTTTTTGCCCCGAATACCGCACCGGGATTCGCCCCCAGTTGGGACCAAAAGCTCAAAATGACATAGATCGATAGAGCTCGACGAGCTCGATCGAATGGATTTCTGGGCGCGGGTGTGCGTGTGGGGTGGGGTGTGGGTGTGGGGTGTGGGTGTGCGTGTAGGTTCTCTTGAAGAGAAGATCCACACCCACACCCTCAAGAATTTTATGAACAAACAAATATTGTACAAGGAAACACAAATAGTAATCTTGTACGAAATAAAGATAATTCGAAGAGACTTGAATGTGAAAATAAACAAACCAGTCTTTGGAGAATATGTCTTTTCGATTTGATCTGTCATTGAAAGTTATTTTTACTTGATTCTATCTTGCATTTCAAACTTTGCCAAATTTTAATTTCAAAAGAGTTTTGATAATTCTTCTATAGATGAACATCGATTAGCTTTATTTTGACTCGAATATATTCAATTTCTCCAACTTACAATACACACTCCTCCATTATGAGTAAAAAATGCAATGACGTAATTCGATTCAATCATTGGTTTCAATATTTCGTAAGAAACTTCAGTTAAAATTACTATTAAACAATAGGTAATCATAGAAAAACATTTCTCTTCATAGCAGACAAACAGAAAAAGACGAAAAAATAAAGGATAACATTATAGTTTATGGCACGGATCGTGACAATTTTCATTCTTCAAGAAATTTTGCTAGCTAAACATCCTTCATAATTTTGAATTATTCAAACGGACTGCATTGAATGAGATATTTGCTCTTGCCGCAAAAAATATTGATAATACCCATGTCGCTAAAACCGGTCTAAAACCGCCGGTTAACCGCGGTTAACCATCCGGTTAACTGGGCGCTTAACCGTTCGGTTAACTGGAGTTAACTGCGGTTAACTGGAGTTAACTGCGGTTAACCGGCGGTTCTTTTTCATGATATATTTTTATTTCTCGCTGGATGAGTATTTTTTAACTCTTAGAAAATTGTCAGATTTGAGTCGAAATCGCGCTTCCCTATATTTGTAAACGCGCTGAAGCTGCCGGTACTAGCCACATCGGCTAATTTTGCTTAATTTACGAGTTTGAATATTTCATTAAAGATGCCGCTAGAAAAATCACAATAAGTTAGAACATTAACCAATAGAAAAAGTTTTAGTGTCATCTAAAAAAATGTACTAAAAGAGACTTAAATTGTTTTTTTTGAGTAAAAAATGATGTTCTTAGAAAGACCAATATTAATTTTATCAAAAAATCGGTCGAAAACTGATGAAAAACAAATGAACCGGTCGAACCGGCGGTTTTTTCACAAACCGCGGTTAACCGACGGTTTTAATAAAAAAGAAGCGACATGGGAGCATTGAAATAAACAAAATTAATATCCAATCATTAAACAACGGTAGCAACGATCTATCAAGTTGTCCGATTAAATCAAACAAGTGCGCTTTGATAAGTTTCCAGTCACAAAGATGACATGTTCAATCAGAATTATAAGACAAAAGAGTAAAAATTCTAAAGCTGCTTTCTCGGACGTTAGACTACATCAGACTCTCCGCTCCCACATTTTACTAGACATCCTTCATGTCCACCTGCCCCATATCATTGCGCTCCTATTTCTATTTTTCGCCTTTTCACATCGGAGTTAACTGACATTTTCTGCGACTTGATTGGTAGCATCATCTCTTTGTCTTTCTTTATAATTCGTCGATTTTCAAATCCATTCTACTATTCTCTCTTGAAAATATCGTTCCTAAATCAACATGCTCTTATTACATTGAAACATCATTAAAATGCTTGAGTTTTTGATAATTTTTATGACTAATGCTTCCAGAATAGGAACTATGTCATTTATATCTTTTGATACTTTGTTTGTGAATTTTCTTTGATTATTTCTCGATATTTCTTTCCAATTGATTCTCTTTTCTACATATTTAGAGACAGGAGATACTGAACGTAAAATGGTAATATTCGAACATCTCAATGTTGAAAAACGAATGCTTTTGAACAGAAGTGTTTGTTTTGAAAAAATGCTTGATAATCTTAAAATTGTATTTGGTCTTCCTGCTACTATTTCTTTGTTATTGTTCAACCTTGTGGGAAATTATTTCGTTTCTTGTTTAACAGCAGGTGATCTCTGGGGTTTAAATGGTGCCGAAGTACCGAAATATAGGATACTTGTTGGTGGTGAAACAGCTGAAGGTAAATATGAACTGATGAAAAGAAAGAGCAACATCCGCAAGCATTCTAAAGAAAGACATAGTTGTAACAAATTTTTGCATGTTGAATTTGTGAAAAACTTTCACATACTGATTTTATATTTGCTGGCACAAATGAATTATTTATCAAACAATTTTTAAGAATGATATCTGGAATTTGAGAAAAGTTTTTCTCTTATTTATAGACGTGAATAATTTTTTTACTCTTAAACGAAATATTATATTTAACTTTTTAAAATTACTATTGAATGTCAAAAGTAGCAAACAATCTTGAAAATATTATCTTTTTTATGAATTGAAAAGATATCTTGTATAAAATTCTATTTAGGTTATATGCTCGACAAAAGTTATTTATTATTTCTTACCCAGGTGATTCTCGCTCGGTCGGATTCCGTCGGATTCAAATAATTGCATCCGTATCTTGTCGGGTTTTTGTCGGAATCCCATGAGCCGGATTCCGACTGTCGGATCTGATCGGACACATGCAAAATCCGATAGGATTCTGTCGGATTTTGTCAGTTTTTATCGGATTCCGACGAAATCCGGACCGAAATCCTGTGCAAGGATTGCTTGTCTTGGGTATGTTTGAATATTCTCGCTTCCATATACTTAATAGGTTTCGATGACTTGAAACTCGAATAAAATTCTATTTATTTTGATTTTCTCGAAAATAATCATTCGAATAGTTACGAAAGACA